CAATATTTTGCAACTACAAGTCATTAAATAAACTGATTACCTCAATCGTATTGTATTATCCATTTGATAAATGAGTGGTATTCGGGTTGGAAACTTCTGACCCATTTAATGCAATAACCATGATTCATCACAAACTCAGAGAAGGGAGCCCAATTTTCCTGTTACCAAATCCCCTCTGTTCCCCTGTTTCCTCCTTATTCTTGTGACATGTGGCACACAACTTAACAATAATTTAACTCTGTTAACTCTCTTCAAAGCTTCAACCCTTTCTTCAAAAAAAATAATTAAAAAGAAATTGAAGTAAAGAAATAAAATCCCAGCACACGACCACCATCCAACCCTAGCGGCGGCAAGCCCCTATCCTCCACAACCCAACCCCAGCATCAACCTCTCCACCTCTGATGACCACGAAATGAACCCAGAAGAGGCCCACGACCGACCCCTCATGCTCTTCGCCTCTCGCTCCGTCAATCTCAGCGACCACCGTCCTCACTACCTTTCTTCCTCCTCCTCACCCCAAACGACGTCGTCAATCTCCCCGTCTGATGAGGAACAGACATGTCAGCATCACTTGATGGGATTGGGAATTTGGGTTCATTTTGTTCTCTCTAGGTTTCTTCTCTTTCTTTGTTTTTTCTTTGAAGTTTTGGGTTTTGGATTTCCATTCAATGTGTCATCTTTTCAGGTCATGAAAGTCGAAATTGAATTGGGAAACTTGGGTTGGATTTGTTATTTGTGTATGATTATATGTTTTTTTACTGGTGAATGGTTGGTTACCTGGATGCGATGTGAATCGGGAAAATTGGGATTGTGTTGTGGAGGATAAGGGGTTGACGCCGCTGGGGTTGGGTGGTGGTCATGTGCTGGGTGGCTGTTGAAGTTCGATGAGTGAGTGCTGGGATTTTATTTTTTTACTTCAACATTATCAGTCAAATATGTATTTTAATTATTTTTTCAAAAAAAGGCTGAAGCTTGAAGAGAGTTAACAGAGTTAAATTATTATTAAGTTATGTGCCAGATGTCATAAAATTAAGGAGGAAATAGGAGGGCACAGGGGATTTGGTAATAGGAAAATTGAACTCCAGAGAAGGAAAGAGATAAATAAAAAATAAATAAAATCATATTTGTGGAAACATATATTTCACTAGCCAATAAAAAGACGACACGTGGAAAATGAATATTCCTTAGGTCAAACTAATTATCCTAATTAAATTCTATTTAATTAGGGAAATTATTTTTGATTTAAGATAGGAATATCTCTCTAAATTAAGGAACCAATCTCCACTAATTCCTAAAACCTTAGTATACAAGGAGACTATAATTACATAGCTACACAAGACATTTGAGGTAACGTTTTCTCACCTGAAAAAACCCTCTCTCTCTCTCTCTTGTCGTCGCCTCCTCCCCCACTCCCATGGCTCTGGCCACCACACACGGCTAAGGCCACCCGGCTCTCCCTGTAAGAAAAAACTTCATTCATTTTAGCTATTGTCGTGTTTTTATCAAGATCCAATTGAACCAACTTAGGCATCGAAGGGCCTTTGGCCAACACCCTTGGGTGTGGTCTATTTACTTCTATTTATTTTGCAGGGCTCAAGGAAGAGAGATAAGGAAGATCGAAAATTGAGGAATCAATCCACAAATATCCTCGTGCGGAATTTTGCTCAAACAATATTCATGACCTGAGAGAGAGAGAGAGAGAGAGAGAGAGAGAGAGAGAGAGAGAGAGAGAGAGAGAGATAAGGAAGAAGATAAGTGGTGGCTCATGATGGGTTTGGGTGGTGGGCTTTTTTAGTTGAAAATATTGGCCCAAAACTTGCTGTCTTTTTTTTTAAAACCTCCAACTTATCACGCTAAACCCAAACCAAAACCATTGCTGTATCAAACTCACTTGTTTCAATATTGCATTAAAAACATATTTAAGGATAGTTCCAGCCAAGGTCTAAAATATCGATGGTATCGAAAATATCGGTAGTCTAAAAACACAGAAATTTCAATGGAAATATCAGGATATTATCGATATCGATAAAAATTAAATAAAAATTGAATAAAAACCACGGAAATTGTAAAAAAAACTTGCAAATTTTTATTGAAACTTTGGAGGATGTTTATTCAGTCAATTATCTATTAGTTTATCACACAAAAATTGGAAGGGAATGCATTGCATGATAGGTTTAACTGATTTAAGTTGATTATATAGCGAGCTGACAAACACTGTGAGTGTAGAAAATATATAGTAATTAATGAAAGAAGATTAAACACACCATAATCATTTTTATATAATGATTTATTACAGTATTTTACACTTTATACATAGCATGGTAAGATACATGAATGACTTAGTACCACATAGAGTTCCTATGAGGTTCACATTTTTCATTATCTTCATCATCTCTATGTGTAGAGTAAGTGTATTGTGAAGAGTAGTCATCAAATGATAAATCCCTAAAATAGTTTGGCATGTAATTGTTAACATGTCACCCATATGGATCCGAGATTGGTTGATGTTGTCCATAAGCAAAATCATTTGAAGATTGGATCTCGGATTCTTTCCATGAGCCGCTCGATTCCATCCCAAAAGGAAAGGTCAAAGATTCATATTCTTATGTGAAAATCTGATTCTTGCAAAAACAGTTCAAAACAAAACAATATAAATATACATATTTTAGCATATTATCACAAAAACATAAACAACATGGTGGTTAAGGCATCGGAGGAGTGAAATGACAAGGGTTTGAATCCCCTTTGCGTGTGTGCTTTGTGTTTTTTTTTTCTTTCCTTTTTTTTCATTCCATAGATATTTTTGATATTTTCAATATTATGGCGATATTTTGACCAAATATTGCTGAAGTGTGAGCGAAATTATCGTCATCGATATTTTACGAAATTATCGTTGATATTATGCGTATGGACCAAATATGTGTATGGATACGCTCCGAAATATCCGTGATTCGAAAAAACGATAATATCCTCGATATTTCGTCGATATTATTGATATTTTAGACTATGGTCCCAGCCTTAAAAAACATATAAAATGTTCGGGTTATAACCGATAAGCCATAACTCTTTTTCCTTTTCGTTTTCTTCAACAAACTGTCGTTTCTTCTCTCTCCTCTCTCTCTCTCTCTCTCTCTCCTCCTCTTGCTCTCTTTAGAGACTAAGACAGAGGTTGATGAGGATTTGAATTAACGTAATCTATGTATATAAAGCAAAAGGCAGAGAATGATAAAACATTCAAAATACTAGAAAATGCCTGTAGTTTATGCAAACATTAAGAATTGAAATTATTAATTAAATGAGAATAATATGGTAAATTCACACTTTTTCAAATTAAAAGAATTTTTAAAATAAAAATAAAATAAGATAATGGTCCTATTTTTACCCTCCGTTTGGATGAGAGAACTCGAAATTTAACTAAACGTCGTTATAGTGCCATTTAAAAAATTCTGTCATTCACAAAATTCGAAATACATAAATCAAACACACTAAAATCTTCAATTGCCAGAAATTGAAATTATGGAAATCTAAATTTCGTCATTTTAGAATTTTATTTAATTTTCAATTCCTTTATCCACACAGAGGGTAGGAGAAACTGACAATTCCCTTGTTTGACAACTTAAGTGCGGAATTTATTAAATGACGTGTGGAACAAATCATGGAAATTGGGGCATCAAATTCCCGAGTTTAATTTCCACCAAAATATGCGTCATTTCACAATTTTCATAGTGTCATTTACAAAAGAATTAATTGTCGATTTACTCCTGAACTTGTATGCTACTTTCAATTTGCACCCTCAAATTTTTTTTTTGGGAAAATTAAGTACACGAACTAATTTTTATTGCCAATTCCCCCCTATCATCTAAATCTCAACATTTCATCCAATTTTCCTTTAAATATGTGGGTAAATTGGTCATTTTATATATTAAAATAATATAAAATCTAAAATAAATAATTTTAATAAAAAGAGCCCTGTTCAGTCAGCATAAAATTGAAGTTATGCCAAGTATTGTGTGGTTTTGCGAACAGAGAAGATAATATTATGTTTCACATTATATGATGCAGGCACAGCAGCTTCTCAGCCACTTCCGGAATCAGCGAGAAGGGGCAATGGGGAAGGGAAAATAAAGACAATTTTGTTGATCTGTTTTGAGATTCTCCTCCATGATATTTTCTCCCCTTCAAGATATTCCATTAGGTCTATTTTTTTTAATATTCTTTAATTTATTCTAGCTTCAGAGAAGTCTAAATATTTTTTTCCCTTTTTTTGATGGGTGATCATGGAAACATTGCGAAGTACACGAAATGGGACTGAATCAGAAGCCTAGGATGTCTAAACTTTTCTTTCCATGGGTATTCTTTTTACTTTTTCCTCCCTCCTCTAGAGCTTGGAAAAAGGGAGTTTATGTGCTAGGTAGGTTACTTTGCTCTTAGTTTCCCTGAAAACATAGCTTGGTTGAGTTTTAGAAGCGTGCATTGACTTAAGTTTTCTTATGTTTTTGATTGATTTGTTTCTCAATCAATGTTGTACATATACTTGTACATAATGCTATAGACTCGTGCAATTTGCAATATGATCACAGCATTTCTATTTATGTGCTATTTGATGCCCATTTGTTCTTGTTTCTTAATCTCAGTTTTGTTGGCAGAAATTTATGCTCCATTTGAACCTTTATCTGATGCCTTAAGTTGGGCTGACAATGGGCTGGCTATATTTGAGAAAAGTGGAAATCTAAATTCTGTCATTTTAGAATTCTATGTAATTTTCAATTCCTTCGTCCAAATGGAATGTTATGGAACAAAACCATCCATTATATTTTTTTTATTATAAATTAATAAAAAAAAAAAAAAAAAAACAATTGGCAGGGCTAGTATAAATTAATTTAACGGTTTTTGTGGTGCAACCGCACCACACTAATACAAACTATTGGCACCACAAGGACAGGCAACCAACGAACCCCAAACATTCTAAAGACATGACGACGTCGTTTGAATCGTCTTGTCCCTTTTATTATAATTCTCTAAAACCCTAGCAAATAAACAAAACAGACAAAACCACAAACTCTTAAGCCCTCCCCTCTCTCTCACTCCTTACTCTCTGACTCTCAAATCCTCCAATGGAGCAGAGATTAGCAAACACATGGCGCATGTCAGTGAACGAGAAGAAGTTCATCAAGACCGCTCTACTCTCCGACCTCCGAATCGATGGCCGTCGCCCCTTCGACTACCGTAACCTCACCATCAAGTTCGGCAAAGACGAGGGCTCGGCGGAGGTCCAGCTTGGCCAAACCCATGTAATGGCCTTCGTCACGGCCCAGCTTGTCCAGCCTTACCGGGATAGGCCAAATGACGGCTCTCTCTCCATCTTCACCGAGTTCTCTCCAATGGCCGACCCCTCCTTTGAGCCTGGCCGCCCCGGCGAGTCCGCTGTTGAGCTCGGCCGCGTAATTGACCGCGGTCTTCGGTTAGTTCCTTTTCCCGTTTCTACTATCAATTTGTTTATACTTTTAATTTTAGGTGAACCTTGTGTGTTTTCCAAATTTAGAATTTTTTTTTCGTAATTTATGCATATTTTTATGGGAAAAGTCTATGAATCCATTTTTACTTTTGTTTTAAAGTTCGATTTTTGTTATATTTAGTCATGCTCTGGATATGACGTGCGTGGTTAAATTCACTTTGTTTATAAATTTTTGGGACTAATGAGCTGAACAATATTGTCATTTGAGTAATGAGAAACAAGAAAGAATTGATATGTGACAGGACAGTGTTGTTGTGCATTGAAATGAATTAATATGCAGGGAAAGCAGGGCGGTTGATACAGAATCGCTTTGTGTTCTTTCGGGGAAGTTAGCATGGGCTATCCGTGTTGACCTCCATATTTTAGATAATGGAGGGTAAGCTCTACTTCCTTTCTATTCCGACATTGTATTTTGTTTTCTTTATGTTTTCCCTGCTATATATTGAAATTTACCTTTTTAGAAATAAAATGTGGACAGAAACCTTATTGATGCTGCTAATATTGCGGCATTGGCTGCTTTGTTGACGTTTCGGAGGCCTGAGTGCTCCGTGGGGGGAGAACATGGTCAGGAAGTGATTGTACATCCACCTGAGGTTAGCTCCTGTTGCTCTTGCTCTCTCTCTGTACACAGATTCTCACTGATCAAGTCCCAGTAAATTCTTATATGAAACGTTTGCATGTAGAACTCAAATTTTCCTGAAGTCCTACTTGAAAATGGATGATATTTTCCGCCAACGAACTGAAACTAGATCCAAACGAAATAAAAATGGATAAATATTCCTAACCAAAAAAACACAATAATCTGAAATTATAAAGTTACCAGAAGACCTGTATGTTGTGGTCAAAAACATTAATTTGTGCTTTTGACACTAGGTGATGAGCTTTGCAAATCAAGATACAAGGAAGTATACGTGTGTGTATTAGTGTAAAATACTATGCATATCACACTGGAATAACCCTTTTAATTTTTATATGTATGGCATTTTGACAGGAGAGGGAGCCACTTCATCTAATCATACACCATCTACCTATAGCAGTAACCTTTGCATTCTTCAGTTTCGAGAGCAGTGTGGTAAGAAAAAGTTTTTTTTTTCTTCTAAATATGATGTTTGCAAAAAACTTGGCTGAAACCATGAAGTTCTTTGTCTGACTTGATTCGATGACACATAGGTGATTGATCCAACCCACCATGAAGAGGCTATTATGGGGGGGCGAATGACTGCAACACTTAATGCAAATGGAGATGTTTGTGCCATTCAAAAAGCTGGAGGGGAGGGTGTCTTGCAGAGTGTTATAATGCAATGTTTGCGAATTGCCTCTGTCAAGGCTGGTGCTATGACAGAAAAGATAAAGAAGGCGGTGAGGTTTTCACTCTATGAAACAGTCTTTTAATACTTGATTTGCCTCTCTTTCACTTGAAGAAAAATTATAACCCTTTATGAAAAATTCTAGAATCATAACATGAACTGGTTAATCTAGAAGGCAAATGGCAGATTCTCATTTTTTTTCTTCTCAAGTACACATCAGTGACATTTTTCATCAATATTGCTTGGAAAGGTCTCTTGGAAAAGTACTCATGATCAAAAGAGACTAAATAAGTGTTTACTTCAAATAAATATTTGGATATAACAATCAAGATGTTGATTCATTTGGAAAAGCTTAATGTGGTCAAATGTATCCTCAAGTTTCGGCTATTCTTAGTCTTTCTACTGCAATTCAAATGTAGGTTGATTCATACAACACAGAAAGAGCATTACGCAAGATCAAGCGCCATACTTCTTCTGACCCCATGGATGTTGATAGAGGTGCTTCTAATACAGGGGTGACACAAAACTCCTCTGTTGATCATTTGGAGAGATTAAAGCCGGTTTCGGAGGAAGGCATTGCCAATCAAAGTGAGGATGTTGAAGGTGAAACTCAATTATCAGACAAAAGGCAAACTAACAAGGTTAATGATGCGAAGAATTTTATTGGGGGGCCCTCAAGTTGGTAAGTTTCTAATTTAATGAAAATTTAGGGCCTCGCTCCTGATTATTTAGCTGAGTTCAGAATGGGAATATATTGAGCATTGGATGGGTTTAAACTTAGACTTCCCTATTTTCTCCTAAAAACTGAACCAAAAATAGGCCATCAATCAAGTGATTGGGGAAAATGAACATAATTTTATATTCTTGAAACGGGTTCTATAGGCACATGCATACTTATTTCTATGCTATGAAGAATAAATTTATTCTTTGTATAACTAGTTTCAGTAAAAAAAACATTCTTGATAAGCCCAGGCCCAGCAAAAGTAAATAATTGAATAAATTAGGAAGGTTGACCTGTATCGATTTATTTGATTCTAGTTTTCTTATTAATATTCTTCTTTCTTTTTTCCTCAGGGATCCATACTCAAAGGGTGTTGATTCGGATTTCTTAAAAGCTTCTCTAGCTTCCCATGGTACTATTTTTTGTGATCACTTATAAGAGTAAAGGAAAATGACCATTATACCTATTGCTGCTCCTTGTGATGACTTTAGCTCATTCCAGAGTTTTTAAGACTAATGATCCTGTTTATTTAGTTATTCATCCTTGTGGAAAGTGGAATTGACTCATAAAATGGGGAAATGCATATTGGTTATGACTTACAAACGAAAAGAAATTATGTAGGTTCTTGGTTTTTACCCTTCTTATGTGACCTAATTGTTAAGAATCATGCTTCCATTTTTTAAATTAATAGTGTTGGCCCTGCTGATAGCATTGAAGTTAGTGGATCTGTAGAGGTGATGTTTAGAAATTCCAACATTGTGCTATTGTTTCAATCTTAGATGTTTGTGTCTAACTTCTCAGTAAAAGAAAAAGAAGAACTCAAGAGGCAAATTAACATTGTATTACTGTAGAATTTATTTAACAATGAACACCTTTCTTTTGGCCTGATGTAATGAGCATGCTTAGTAGTCTATATTTGGCATGTAAGATGTTTGTTCATACTAGTTTCATTCATGAAATGTTCAACTTAGAATGTAGATATAATTATGCATGATTGTGCATACTTAGACAGACATGCACATACAGGAAGAGAACTTCTGTTTACATGCATGCACTCCCAGACATGCACATGCGCTTTTATATGAGATGGAGAGAACTTTAATCTATAGGCATTGACTGCAGATGCATGATATGTGCAGGAATGTCAATGCCTACTAAGAAACAAAATGACTCAAAAGGTGAGGAAACAACCAGCGGAGCCAAGCCAGAAGAACCTCCTGAAGATATTAATCCAAAACCTTCACCCATTAGGGCAGCTGAAACTGCAGAACAAACAAATGGAGAGAAAACCTTGAAGGATGCTGTGAAGCCCAAAAACAAAAGACCCAGGAGAAAGAATCGCTCCTCTACAGGTCCAAGCTAGATGGTCTTGTCCTCATGGCATGTATGGTGTTATTCTGTTTCTTGGACATATTTTCATATGTGCTTCTCTGTGCCTTAAGTGTGGATAAATCAATTTTGTAAAAGAAAAAAAATAATTATCTTTAAAAAGCAAGGATATCTCGTCTTCTTACTCACCGATCTTAGAAAAAGATAATTGATCTGTTTTTTATCGTTATGAAAAGTGAATACGTGCTTTCAAATGCTTGGAGTGGCAGAAAATTTCGTTTGGTGATATTTTACTGTGCACGTTGCTTTGTCACCATGTTACTTGGCAGATACTTGTGTGCTGCAGTTCTCTTTGGAACTCATGAAAGGCAAAAGGAGTTGAACAAGTCTGCGATCAACTGCAAATTGATTCGAGGGGGATCGGTATGGCTAGTAAATTGAGAAATGATGGATGATCGTCTGCAACTAAGTCTGGCTTGACCAAGTTGCTTGCAACTGTTGACCAGAAAAATGAAGCATTATCTTGTTCTCATTGTTGGCTAAAGCTGCTAAGTTGCTTCTCATGCAGTTGTGGTGACTCACATCTAACTGTTTAGTTGACATTCAGGATTTTATGTATTGCTCTGTCGTGTACTTTGCGTTGTCATGTATGCATGTTTTGTTTACCCCTTTAGTTTTGGTGTGCAAATTGTACATGAACGAGGTTACTAAAATTACTAAAAAATTTCTGTTGCGCAAGAAATGATAACTACCTACTTTCTACTATTTCATCCTCAGCCTCCTGCATGTCAATACTTAGAGTAAAGGTGACGTCTAATTTCATTTTGGCAAAAATAAAGAAATCAACATTAGGTAGGAATTGATCAAAAATTCTTTTTGCATTCCCCTACAGCATAGTCACTGCAGTGGAGTGGAATTTAACCAACAAATTCAGGATGAATTCGTGTGTCCTCTATGCCCAGGACAGTTTAACCACCAATTCAGGATGGATTGGTGTGGCCTCTATGCCAGGGAAAAATTATAGAATACTACGGTAGTATGACCACGTGGTACATCTTGTACACGTGTTATAATTTGGATAGACAACATGGTTTATTTTTCCCCCTTTTAGGGAATAGTATGAATACATATCCACTAATATTACAACACGTGTACAAGATGTACCACGTGACCGTACTATTGTAGTATTCTATAATCTCTCATGTCGAGGACACCAAAATGTCGAACCATGAATGAAGAAATGCATGAGAGACAAGCATATTAGCTAGTGATTCTGAGGCCCAAATTCTTCACTGGAGGGGACACCAAAGACCTCTGATTTTCCATCCATTCGATAGATAGAGTGGAGGGCAGAGCTTTTGGTTTTTTTTTTTTCATGTTGTTAAAAGAGTTGAACAATCAAGATAGATGATGAGTGTTTGATCAAATTGATCGGGTCATTTCTTCAAGTCTACTGGTCTATCAGGATGCCTCAGTTGCATACATCACCACATCTCCACTTGCAACCTATTGTAATTATAAAAGGTTCGTATCGTTGTGACCAGGGACGGATCTTCATGGGGGGTAGGCTGGGCTACTTCCTGGCCCAAAATTTCCCCCCCAAAAAAAAACAAAAACATACATGCCTTTTGCCTAACTTAAACCCTAGAATACTCAAGTTCAAATTAAAACTAAAATTAAAGATACATACAATCAAGATAGCTTCCTCCCTTGGGTTTCTCCTAAATACATGTATGTATCTTTAATTTTAGTTTTAATTTGAACTTGAGTATTCTAGGGTGTAAGTTAGGCATGAATTATAATTTCGGGATTTTGTGAAATTAGGGCTTTGATTTTAGGAATTTTGTATAAAAATGCATTTGAGGGGTAAGGCTCATTACATCCCTTTGATTAGGTCTATATATATATATATGTTTCTTAATAAAATTCACTCATACCGTCAAGAAGTATGTAAATTTTGCCGAGTCAGCTTTCAAATCTTGAATCCTCAACTAGTCGTGACCTTATCCTGAACTCTTAAAATCTTTGTTGCTCCACCCTTGTAGGGGCAAAAAAACCACCATTCATGTCAAAGTTAAACCACTTACATTACAATGAGTAATGTTAGCGAGGCCACATGATAGTACCACGCTGTGTATTACTTCTGTAATAAAGGTATGTCCAACCAATATAAGTAGGTCACACAACCATTAGATATGCAGTACACAATACGGTATAGTAATGAGGTCTCTCTAGCATCTATCTTTGAAGGTTCTACTATAATAAATATTAGCCCACCACTGCAGCATATAAATATTAGGCCATTAGCCCACGCGTGCATGTCTTTTCTTGTTTTAATATTAGCACATTCATTATGTGTCTCTCTCTAAGGGAATAAGAGGGAATCATAGGCTCTCCTTTCACTTTATTATTGCACATTTCATTTTTTTTTTTTGTGTGGAGAAAATGGAATCATTTTGTAAAAATCATGATATTGATATGCCAGATATGAATGTTTGTTATAAAGTTGGATCCATCCTTACTTTTAATATATATATGTTTAAAAATAGGGTTTTTAATTGATCCCCAAAAAAAAAAAACAAAAAAAAAAGGCCACCCTTGTAAATATTCCTGGGTCTGCCGTTGGCCACCACTAACATTGTCTCTAAATTTGATCGAAAATGTAAGAGAGGACTAATGGTGCTTAACGGAAGTGGAGCACAAATTCAGAGACCATTACTTCTAAAGCCAATAACAACAAAAACAATTTTGAAAAAGAACAAAAGATAAAGCTTCATTAAAAGCGGACTTGTCAATGTTAGCCCACCTCCCTAGTAATTTTGGGCGGCGGATGTAATAAAGTAACATTGTGATTTGTTGAATTTTGTGAAGAGGCGTAGCCAGTGCAATAAGTAAAAGATGGCGTTGGTTACTTACTACACCCCCTACGTACCACTTTTTCAAACTTAATTGTAATAAGTAAAAGGTGTTTATTTGAGGGTCACTTTTGTAGGGTCTATTTTGTATTGTATTTCATTAATTCAAACAATCTATTTTGTAGATACTCATTCAAAGATCATCCCTACAAAAAATCACTTGAATTTGATATTATTTGACCACTCAATTGAATTATTAAAATTTTAGTACTTTCTTGAAGTATCGTGTTCATTGATTTTGTAGGACACAATTGGATATCGAAACGTTTTCTGATATGTCTAATTTTTTGCAAGGATGATCTATGAATGTAGACTTAAAAAATCGATAGTTTGGATCATTGGAAAAAATTCATACAGGACCCTTTAGGGTATTCCTCAATATAAGGGTCATATATATAGAGCTTTTATTGAGGGATCTATCAAATAAGCTTATTTGGACAGGACCCACCCCGAATTCCTCGGAATCCGTGATGAATCCTGTGGTTTTTCCGACATCCAACCGATGCCTGGTCCACTTATTAATTATAAACATCCTCTTCCTTTAAAACCAAGGAAAAGAGGGTCGAGATTTCTACCGAAATTTGGGCAGTCTCCTATGAAAAATGGGCTTTACCAAATTTTCAACATGTCAAAAACACAGTTTAAAATCACCAAATTGCAGCATGCACAAAGTACATTACACACAATAAACAAACAGGCCTCTGGCCTCATAACCAAACATTTTCTAAAACGTTCTTGTTTTTGAACTCCTTTGTAAATCCATACACCCGTAACAATTATCGTAATAGCAATAAAAAAAAAACTTTCTTCTTCCAAGATTCATGTCCACACTTAGAACAATACAAGCACAACTCAAACAGTTTATTTTGTGGCTGCACCTAAGTTAAACCCCAGGTTATCTACATACCCCTCTGTGAGGGATCAAGCCACACGTAGTTCTTATGACAAAAAGAATCACAATTTAGAAACATACAGATATTGTCCAATTGAAACCCACAATTAAATTTAGATTCATTCTCAACTTCAATTTCCACAAGGCACACCCTGAACACTTTATAAGTTCCTTTCCTTTTATCGGTTCTTTCCCGCAACCATACCTTATCCAAGGCATATGTTGCCGAACAACCTTTTCCAAACCATAAATCAAACTTTCATACATGTGCAGAGTTACTCACGAAGCATAAGTTCAAGAATCTTAAACTGAAAACGAATCCACACACACACACACACACACACACACACACACATATATATATATATACACCATCATAATGTACCAGGGGAAAACAAACCAGCTCGGGGATCGTTTGACTAGACCACATGGAGGAATCCTCAACAACCATGTGGCCAGGGACGAACCGTCCAACAGGGGGACTAGGCTCCTAGACACGCACAGCAAAATCATCAATACTCATGCGGTTGAAACTAAGTCCTATGGGCACAGACTGCCCGACAAGGGCCTACGGTAACACCCCATCAAGGGTGCCCGGGTTCCGACATGTCCAAACCATAACCACATTTTCCAAGTATCCATTATCTATTCCAATATCAGTATCCGAGGGGGGTGTGTTGTACATGAGATTGCGTGTCATCTCCAAAATCCACTTTCATAAACTAATATATATAATAAAAGATAATATTCTCAAAATCCAATTTCCAAATATTCAAAGGTACCCCAAACCCATATATAATAATAATAGTAATCCCTAGAAATCCCATAATCATATCTTCCATAACTCAAAACATTTGTAGTATAGACAACAACTCTCAAAAGCATATACTCCAACCCCACACATTCATAACCTCAAACCAAAATATTAAATACCAACCGATTTGGTTTCCACAATCATAATCGAATTCCAGATTCACATAGGAATTATCATTATTCAACATCAAATCATGCATCAATTCACACCATCCCCAAAGCTTCATTTATATCAATATAACAGCCAATAACCACAATTAAACAATATTCTAATCTCAAAATTAAAGTACTATATACATACCTTTCAAATGTTTAGAGAGTAATGCACGCTAAATCAAATGTCCAAACACTACCAAAACTTGTTATACGGCTTCAACCATGCATTTAAAATCAAACCCTAGTTCTCGGGACTTAATGTGGACCCGCCACCTTAAAAAAGCCCTAAGAATATTCTAGTACTTTCCAAAGGACGGGATGGTCTCAAAAGACCCATGGTCAACGATTTGGTCAAACTTTTCATTTTTGGTCAACGGGGCCCGCGAGGCCCATGACCTCTGATTTCAAATCCAAAAGTTTCTAGAGGTCCAACAAGGTCTACTGAACACGTCCTGAAAGTTTGATCTCGATCGAGCGGTCGGATCGCTCTCGATCACACGATCGAAAGGTCACCGGTTTACCTAACCCTAAAATCATTGATTCGGAGTATCTGTGAGTTCCTACACGATCCTAGAGGTACAGAGAACAACATATTTGGAATTGGAGCCGATCCAACGGCCCGAACATATCAAACCCGGATATCGCCTAGTAGGCGTAAATTTGTTAGACTATCATACGACAACCAAATTCGAATCTGAGCATACCATCGCGCTTGGGATGACATGGGGATCAAATTAGAGCACAATGGGCCACCACACCATGGCCCACGCGCTGCCACATGCGTCGGCAGCGCGTGGGTGGTTTAAGAAAATTCTGGCGACAGAAAATTCTCGAAACACCCTATAATAAATATACCAATACGTTCAGACT